AACCTAAAAATAAATAAATAAAAAGAACACATACACACCTATGTACAATATCTACAATTTGGCAAGAGAACTCCAAACCAGACTTGTCCCTCCAACTGTGGAGGGAAAAGTATGACTCCAGGAGTTCCCTGCACTCCTCTCTCAATCGCGTCACTAGGGCTAAACCCAGTGGAGATTGAGCAAGAGTGCTTTAGCCACATACACTCATGTCGTGAGTGGAGAATCTGGCCATTTTTATTAAATATATATTTTAAAAAAAATATTAATCTAATGAATGGTGAAATTCATATATAAAAATTTATTGTTAAAGTAAAGCTTGACAAAGGAACTAATAATATCGTTACTCAAATAATTTTCAGTTGCTAAAGTAGTGGAAAAAGAGGTTGTTATGCATATACAGCATATATATATATATATATATATATATATATATATATATATATATATATATATATATATATATATATATATAAGCATATAAGCTAAGACTTTTTTAACATTATATCATACCCCTCTGCTCAGTCTCTTGAATTGATTAATTTTAATATAATTTTATTTCTTGATTTAAATACGTGTTTTTTACATTTGTCCTAGTCGTAAGTAGTACTTTACATTTTACTCCCACGTGTAACTTAAGAGTGTGCTTATTCCATTGGGTTGTAAGTAATGGGCTTGAAGTTGGAAGTCCTACTTTCCCTGTCCCCTCAGCGAAGAAAACAGCGCATCTCTGCCTTGTTTCCATGTAAAGGCTGTGTTCTCCTCGATACCATTTTATCGTCTGTTGATTTTAAATTTATTTTGGATCAGGTCTTTCTTGTTGAGCAGATTTTATTTCGGTGTCGCTTCTTTAGGTTTTTATGTACTGAACTGTATCCTGCTCTTAACTGTGTCTTGTCCTCTGATGTGTCAGATTGATTTGTTTGTTAATTGTAAAACGTTAAATTTTAATGTAAATTATAAATATTATTAAAACACGTATTTTTAGTTGTTTTTGTAATTACAGCTATATTCTCTGACTCATACCTATGTAGAATTTCTTCTTTGTCGTTTTTAGGAATAACGTTATTATTTAATCATTCATTTATGTTTCAAAATAAATTCTTCACCTCACCTTCTCTCCAGTTCTTATTTTCATTGTTCGAATTCTATTTTTTCATTTTAATCATATATTTATTCATATACCTCTGTGGAATGTTTATCAATAATGGTTGTCTTCTACTGTTATCACCACCACCACCTTCCACCTAGTGCATTGTAAAGTTAATATTAATTGTAATTGATAAGATCTAATATTTGAACATCTTATTTTTTATCATCGTCATTCTTTCACGAGTATCTAGTCCAGCCAATTATTTCATTTAAACCTCTGTTTCTATGTTACTGTAGTTTTGTTTGTATTTAGTATCTTCTTTCCTCATTTTCAAATATTTATCATCTCTATAATTGTCTTATGTTATTTTTTTTTTAATTTACGTTTTGGTCAATATTTTATACCATTAGTCATTAGTTGCTTATTTTTCATTCTGTCTTTCTTTAATTGTTCTCTTTAGTATAAGCACGCCATTGATAGACATGGCTGAGGGAATTTTTGTCTTATTATTATTGTTTAATATTATTATAGTTTTTGGGAATTATTATTGTTATAATCTTCTCCGTTGAACATTTAGAACCTCTATGGTCCCCTTTTTCTATTTAGCACTTTAAAATTGAAAAAAATATTCAGTTATGTAGGTATAATGTTCATTTTAAAACATCTTTTTGTACCTTAAAATTCTATTGTTCTGGTAAAGGACGGGGGGTCGGTACCAGTAATGGACTTACCTGAGAAAATTACTAAAATATTTATGTAAATATAAAAATAACGATAAAGATAACATAACATAAATGTTCAACTTACTCTTAGCAAAACTATTAATAGGAAGGAATAAGACATGCTGATCTTAAGAGTACTATAGAAACAACAATGATACGCATTTTAAAATTTTCTTTTGAACTTTTTTTTGATACAGTAGTCAATAGAGGGCATTGTTCTTCAATCTAGAAAAAATTGGAACCTTTAAATCAATAAGGAAGCTTCTTATTTCTTATTTATATTAAAGTGCAATCTGTACACCACTGGGCTCCCTGTCCATAACTGGTGCGTTCACAATGTACATCTTTCGATTCTTTCTAAAGAAATTTCGATTTGGATATTTTATGTATAATTATATATATTTTATTTCATACTTTATAATGAGATTTCTATTTTCTTTTATTTAAAATATTTTATTCCTTGTAATATTTTTATTTTTAATTAACATTTTCATTTCTATATCTAAATTCTATTCTGCATCTATCCAGTTATATAATTATTACGGTTCCTTAAAAGTAGTTATATTAACGCAACCTCACTATGGTCTTTACTTTTTTCATAATGCTTTGTTAAAAATTAATAAAGACTCTCGATTACTCAATTCTCGATAGATAAAAAGAAAATGTCTGCCCTGCTTCTCTTTGATTTCTCAAAAGCCTTCGATTCAATTAATCATGAAATGCTCCATTCCAAATTCCAAAACCTCTCCATATCGAGCACTCTTTTAAAGTGGTCCCATTTCTTCTTATCTCATAAATCCCAAACAGTTATAATTTCCAATAAAAATCCTTCCTTTCCCTCTTGCTAAATGGTGGTGTTCCTCAGAAATCATTCTGTTTTCTTTTATATTAAAGTATTTTATTCCTTTAGATATTTAATCAAAAATTTTCATTCTTCTATATAATTTCTATCCTGCATTTATTTATTTCTTACTGTTCCTTAAAGGTAGTTTTATTGCCGCAACATCGCTGTCCACCAACGTTCATGTTATTTATTACATTTTTGTAAATATTATGATATATGTCGTTTTAATTAAAATTCATTATTTATTAATGATTATCTAAGATTAGGATGATGAGAGGAGAAGGGAGATAGCTTTGAGACTACAGGTAGCTGGTTGTATCCAGCCGGAGCGATAAGATCTGAGAACACGCTACCTGATTAATAAATACAAGGGAGACACCGGATTCTTCTGTCGAGACCATTTTATTCACCTGACCTTTAAATGGTAGCTCTGATTAAATATTTACAACGCTTTGTAGATAGGTATGGATCGGCTTGCACTATAATTTTTATCGGAGATACGATTCCACTTTCATCCACATGTCCATGGGATGCATTCCCAATGCCCAAAACGTCATTATTCATTTTCAGATAGCATCATCGTAAAATATTTTATTCTTTTTTTGTTTAGAACTGATATTACTTCTGTTATTATTTCTGTAAGTTTTCTCTTAAAATAGATAGCTATGTATTATAATTTTCCTGTATAAGGTTCAGATTATAAAAATAAATGATCAGCTACTCCGTTCTAAGTAATAATTTGGAGGAAAATAACATATGTTCGTAATTTATTCATTACTTTTAAATTTACCCCCATACCAGACTGAAACGACTAAAAACCGCCCGACGTTTTCAAATACTGCAGCACTTACTAGACAAACTCTCTAAACTTCCAACTATTTACAAAAGACTCATATATATTATCATAATAAAGCCTATTTGAACTTACGGAATCGAGCTTTGGGGCTTTACTAAACCATCAAATTCCTCTCGTATCCAACCCCTACAATCAAAAATCCTTCGTAAAATCCTCAATGCTCCCTACTTTGTCACAAATAAAATCATCCATAACGACCTTAATGTACCATATGCTTCCGATTTAGCTCAATCCAGATAACTATCCTTCCAAGATAAACTTCTGAACCATCCGAACACTCTTGTTTCCAACCTTGCTTCCTCTTCTATTCCTGATAACCCTCCGAGACGTCTGAAAAGAAGATGGCCTCGTGACCTTTTAATATAGAAATATAATTGGAGTGCTACCGGTGGGTAGTTTCTGTTCATGTTGTACATGTCAAGTTATTTATTTCACATTTACTAGTTGTATTTATCATAATTATACAGTTATAAATTTCAATAATAAAAATTTAAAAAAACTTTTAAATTTAGACGTTTTTTTTTCACTAACCGAAGTCATATTAAGAAAAAACGCGTGTTTTTTTTATTTTAAATACTATGTGATGTTTTCAATAATGTTTTTTGTTTGTATTTCCAAATGCAAGCGATAATATATTACCAAAATGGCTCAGAAAAGCTCATAACACCACTCTCTAATAAATTTATACATATAGGCTTTTTTCATTATTTTTTTCACACAGATTCAGAAATATATATATATATATATATATAAACCTCCAAAATTTACTCTTTACTTTTGAAATATTAATGTTTAACTGATAAAATTACATATTAACTATTATTTTTGTTTATGATTTTAACCTTTCACCAGGCTACCCATTTTTTATAATATTATATATTACATAAAAATGTGATAATTTTTTTTTTTAAATCGTTGATTGATTAATAGTTACAAACAGTGTAAATTATACCCTTTTTTGTATTTCAAAAAATATAATCTAAAATTTCTTATTAATACAAAAAAATATTCAATTGCATTTTATTTATCACCAACGTACTTCTAAAAAATCATTTTTGCTGTCATCATATTTAAAGATATTCATTGGTTTTTAATTTTGACAAAAACCTTTCATTTTTGTTGGTATTTGTCGGTATATGGTCGTGGGAAAACCAGAGTTGGAAAAGATGCCTAAAATTAATATATACAACACACTCTACCTTCCATCCCAACCATATGCTAGTGAGAGAAGTCCTACTAGACAGAGTAGCGCCATATATTTATGTATGTACTAGACCAAAAAGTTGCAAGTTCCCAATTTTTTGTGTTCGTTTTATATTATTTGGGTGCTTCATTTTACAACACCACTTACATGAACTTGAATGTATTTATTTACTAAGTAAAACAAAATTGTGAAAGAAAATTATGGTTACTATAGCTCTAATATTGTTTTGTTTTTTATCATGGTATGCACATTTCTACTTGCCCTGCTACTTTTTTCCAATAAACATGTTAAAGGCAACTATTTCCAGGATCTACTTGGCGACCCCGCCTCCGTTAGGTTCCCTCCCTCGGAGCCCGCGGACAGGACTACACATAGGGGCAGCCTTTAAGATGGATCATCCAGGAGCCCCTACACGGCTACTATATCAGGCCTACAAGATTAACTGGATATTAACCGGCTTATCTGGAAGAGCTAGTTCATCCATTACAGAGATATCTTGCCTCTTATCTAGCAACACCTCTACTCTATTATAGCTGACGGCTAAATTTTACAAATGGAACAGGCAATACGGCTACTTTTTAATGTAATAGCCCCTGCCATTGAACTTATCTCGGTAATACTTCTTAATAGAAAAAAAAATTATAATTCAAGATAAATATCGACCTATAGGACATCGCTCATTAATTTTAATTAGCACGTCATAAATAAAAACAGAGGTTTACACTTAGAGTTTATTCACATTATCTAAGAACTTGAAGGGTATTAAGTGTTCATATTTCATGTTCTGGTCTTCGATTAAATAACAATTGTTATATCTGCAGCATACCTCAGCTGTATTTCAAATGAAATATTTTAAAATAAAATACGATTTTGTATTTGAAGAGATAAAATATAAAATGCATTGTTTGTAACTGAATATTCCTTTTAAAATGTACAAAGTATTTGTATTTTCTTTCCTAGGCACTAAAATACAATAAAAAATGTAAATGTATTAATATGAAAAATAAATTACGTAAAATGTTCAATTAAGTATTGTAGCAAGGCCGGTCGTTTGTACGAGGATTATCACATGTGAAAATCGAGCACAGAACTTTATTAAGGTGGATTGTGTTAAATTTATTAAGCAATTTGGCTATAAAATGCATTAGCCTTACCAAACTTACTGAGAACCTGAAGGAAGAAGAGAGTATTTTGTGTAATAAACATTTGTTTTGAAAAAAAGAAGTATTGTGATAAAAAAGTTGTTCTTTTTTAAATGACAGTGTCAGATACTTTCCAGCAAAGATAATTGAAGAATTTGGTTTATTTAATACTTTAGAAAATGTTTAAAGTCAAATAATTTGGCAATACGTCACTTGCATTAGAAATTGTTACGAAATAATATATTTTTAAAAACCTATATCTCTGCAACCAATGATGGGTCTTGGGTTCAGAACTACTCAGGAAGTACAGCCATATTCAGGAAGTACAGTTTTCATGCCAAGGAGGTGATTTGACCGAGATCACACTCAACCGCCAGGTTCCCCTTAATTAATCAATTAATTAAGAATACCCACTTTATAGAAGCTAGGTGTGACCCAGGAGGGTCTCCCGCCGACCCAAGGGTCGATCCACGGCTTATGAAACAATAAATAATTGCCATCAAGCGGATTCCTGCGTGGAACCTTGAGCTTAAGAAGTCAGTACCCTACCCACTGAACTACCCTGCTCCATAGAAATAATATTAATTGATTCAAATAATTAATTCCTAATCAACTATTTTATAAATATATCTACTGTCTAGTAATTTCATTACTCTTTTTCTCGCCAGAATAAACCTATTTTTGGCAACTAAGTAATTGCAGATTTTTGAGATGAATAAAAAATACTTAGGTTTTTTCAAAAGCTTTCCTATGCATGTATCTGAACAAACCGAGCTTCTCTAAGTTAACAGTAGTAAAGATATGACAATTGACAACCTCTTTGATTGGTTCGTCTTCAGCGAAAAATTGCTCGTATTAAATTTTGCGAAACAACATGCCTTTCTTTTTAAGGCTTCGGTACCGAAGCTATATATATATATGAGCTATCACAGCACATCATTTTTTGTGTGCTTGTGAAGCATGTTTTCGTTTGCAAAAATAAAAAAGCAGAATATGTCGAAAATGCCGACTTTAAGCTTCCATTTCAAACACGATTTCAGAACTAAACTAAACATTTGATTACCAAAATATTTACATGGAATTATAATTGAGGTATTCAAGGTCAAGCAAGAATAAGCGGATCAAATTTCTTTAAGTATACAAAGATAACATTGTTATTAATATCATAATATCCGCAATTATTTAGTTACCTCTATATTTTGTATTTGTATTTTAATCTTTTTAATTATTTTTTTTGTAAATACAATACAAAATAATGAAGAGAAGAATAGTTGGGGTGGTCAGTCAAAAAAGAAGGCAATAATAAATGGTAATATTTATTTTTACATATGCCGACGTTTCGACCTGAAGTTCAGGCCTTCATCAGGGCTAAGAAAAATAACCAGATAACAAGGTATGAGAAACATAAGTAGTGATGGTAAAAAAAAAATAAAAAAATAAAGAAAAAAATTATAAAAAATAAAGTAAAATGAAATTAGAATAATGATAATAGTAAGAACTAAGAGATAAATAATAATAACCGTTACAAAGTGTGGAATGATGAAGTAAGCATAACCAAAAAGGTAAAATTTCATTTTTTCATTCCACTAAAATTTCATTTTACTTTATTTTTTTATAATTTTTTTCTTTTTTTTACCATCACTACTTATGCTTCTCATACTTTGTTATCTGGTTATTTTTCTTAGCCCTGATGAAGGAATGAACTTCAGGTCGAAACGTCGGCATATGTAAAAATAAATATTATCATTTGTTTTTGCCTTCTTTTTTGACTGACCACCCCAACTATTCTTCTCTTCATTATCCACGACAGTCAACCATTTACCAATTATGAAAATACAAAATACTTTTGGTATTTTGTATTTGAAATCCTTTTTATGCAAAACAATTTAAATACTTTGTGATTGAAATACACTATATTTTAAAAATACTAAATACTTGGTATTTTAAATACTATATCTTAAAGTATTTTTTATCCATTTCTGAGCTATAGCATTTTACACATAAGCACAGAATATTTCTTCATCGCTACCGTTGTTAGGTAAGCTTTGCATTCGTACCGAAGGTAATAAAATGTTGGTGCTTAGAATCGATAATTTCCACTAGTGTTTTCATTTTAGGCACGCCTTTACATATTTAAAAAACGGCTCGTTCGAATCGGCTCATAGTTAGGAAAGCGTTGGAAAATGATACTGAATCATTTTTATCGAATTCCGTCCTCTGCTTCCTGTTTTGCACAGATTTATTTTCCTTGTTACGCCTATATCTCAAATATAGCACGTTTTGTTTTTTTTTTGGTCCAAGGTCGGAAGGAAGATAGCGATTGGTGAAAAAATAATGAAATGAATATTTTTGCAGACACGTATTTTTCTCGATACCCCGGGGATAGAAATACATTTTGTAACATTTTGTACATTTTGTAAGTACCGATTAAAAGTACTGCTTAATTGTTGTAAGATCAAGACTGATAAAAAAAAAAGGGTATTTATGAATTCAAATTAAGGCAAAATAGTTTCTAATACATGACAATTTTAGTTATTATATGTAAAGAATTGGTAGAACCAATATACTTTTTTATTTTTCCTTTCGGGGTTTAGTTAGGTTTCTTTTATCTAAAAAAATACAGTGATATCTCTATAATAATAAGCTAATAATGAACTGCAGGACTGTTGCGAGTCTCTTGCGCAAGACCAAAACCATGACTAAGACTGAGTTTGCAAGACCAAGACTCGTCTCGGTCTCGCATTTGGGCAACACTAAATACAATGGACTATTTCCACCGTCGGTCATTTATTGTGGCTATAGTTCTCTACTAATAGAATTATTTTTTTTAATTTTCAACTATTGACTAAGCTATGCGGATGTCACACAGTTTGATTCAAAAGAGAAAAAAAAAACCTCTAGAAGTTTTATCAGACCTCTTTTTTTTTAGAACAAAATCTTTTTCCATGTAACTCCATATTCCATGTTATTCCAATATTCCATGTCTTTTTCCAACTCACTTTTTCCAAATCTTCAAAACTAGAACAGAGACCGAAACTAAATACATACTTATACTTACTTAAACCAATATAGACTTACACCTCACAGCTATACGGTATAGCTAAAAAGACTCACACAAACTTGAAACTTTCCAATGAAAAATATTACGACTTATAACTAAAGCACTTTGGTACGTGATAAACATAACATTACATACAGACTTCCTCCTGCCTACAGTTGACCAACACATGAGAACTTTTTCCAAGCGATTTTACAATAATTTACAAGGCCATACTAGCACACTAATCAGAGATATGACTTCAGCTGACTTACCCATCAATAATGAGGAGGAGACTAAAAAGGCGGTGGATGAGAGACCTCCTTCTTTAACAAACCATGGCAATTGATTCAATTCAGGGAAAAGGTACTGTTGGGTGCTATCCTTCCCAATGCCTGACATGTCAGTTTCATTACTTCTATCAGACAATCTGCTGATTGTCTACAGGTGCAGATTAAAATTTAAAGATGAAAAAAAAATTAGCAGTAAGCTAATAGGTAACTAACTGCAAGACTCTTGCGCAAGACCAAGACCAAGATCGAGAATGTGTGCGCAAGAACCAGAAGACTAAGTACAATAAAATACAAGGTTGCACACAGACTAATATGATAATTTGTTTCGAGTAGGAACGTAAAAATAAACACAAATAAAATAAAATATTTGTGTTTTTTTTTATTTATTTTTCCCAGACATGAAATCAATGGTTCTTCAACACTTGAAATTTATCATTAGTATTTATAATTTATGATGTTTTGAAATGTGCTTGGTTTGCAATGGATATGTTGATACGAATTATGTTGGCTCTTACTTTTTAACATTATTACACTCTTGGGATTGAGATAGTAGCCCAAGATTGCATAAATCTTCGCAGCTATAAAAAGTAATATTCTCGAATAACATTTCCTTGTCATGAATCCTGGCATAAAATCCTGCTGCAGAACTGTTTACTGCATATTTCGTTATGGCATATTACGTGCAATGTTTTTTATGAAGATTTTTAGACGTTTAGGATAATTGATATACGTTCATGATTTAAATATGGAATGATAATAACGATGATAACCATACAAATGAAACATTATATTATAAATAAATCGGTGAAATAAATAGTAAATAAAAATAAATAAGATATGGTGATTGTTATAAAGCAGAAATTAAAGAAACATAAACTAATGATAAGTACGTAGTAATTAGGATGATGATATGCATAGAAATGACATATGAAGTATAATAATTCTGTAAGACTTAAGTACAAAATAATTATTATAAATAATATTATAATATTAATAAAATAATAAAGATGGTCTTGGGAAAGAGACTATAGTATTTATTAGTAGAAAAAGGCCTTTTCAGTCTGGATAAATAATTGCTTTATTTCAAATTTATTCAAATGTTCGCCTCTTCAGACATCTTCAGAGATAAGCTAATTTTACATTTAATTTAAATATATATATATATATATTTTAAATATAAAAACTTACTCGTTTATAGCAGTGCACCCACTTTCACTCTTACTCAAAGGACACAACTGAATGAGACCAATCTTTGAAGAAGG